AATACTGCAGACCGTGCGCTTTGGAAATTGGAACGAGCAGGGCAGGCACGCTTTAATTGAAATGGTGTTCAAGATAAAAATAGGTGGGATGCTCTTCATGCACACGCGCACGCACACGCACATACACACCCGCAAGGCTATCTCTTCTCAACCTCTCTCATCAGTAGCTCTCGGGACACTCCTCGGTTACGCAAAACAATAAGTACTAACACGACGGACAGCTTCCATCAAGGCATCAACAGCAGCAAGCAGTTCTTTCGTCGTCACAATATGCATGATGGACGGAACAACTCACAATACCTACAAGTCGGCGAGTCGAAAACCGGGGAGAGTCAAGCGTTGCTGTTCTAGTCCGGCACTGGTCATCATGGCTTTACCTGGAACAGCAGCAACAAGATCATGCAGGGGCCGTCGCCTTCGATCACTACTTCGCCAAGCGAGGATCATCTCACAGTCGTTTCCCCCAGCAGGCACTCTTCTTATTCTTCTCCCGCAACGTGCCGAGGAGAGGTGAGAGTTTACCGAACACTAACATCAATCACGACCACGGTCGTTTTACACAGCGCTTTTTCCAAATAATATCCGGACTCCAATACTTTGGTCATAATCAAAACAATTGGAAAATTTCCAAAACTTTGGAACTTGAACAGGGCCCGAAAATTGTGAAACGGTAGCTTTCAAATTGTTGGAAAGTTTCCAATTTTCTTGCCTTCGAACTCGCCCCGCAAAGTTCCCTAAATTTGGAACAGTGCTGCACGGCTGAACAAAAAAAATGATGGAGGAACAATATATATCGGTTTACACAGAGGAGCAGCACGACCGGCGTACATCCACCCAAGGCTGAAGGCTCACAGCAGTGTTTGTGTTTTCGTCCTAGTTGTTATGGCGACAGTCCCCCCATTTTCGTGGTGAGACATGTACTACACTCTTCAGTACTACAATTTTTTCTTTTTCTTTTTTTCTACAACTACAACCATCCCGGGTCACACAGGGGGGGGTAAACACCAGGGCTTTTTTCTTCCTTTTTTTTTATTTTCGTGCCCCACCTTCCTCTGCGGCGCGTGCTGCATTTTACATTTATCGCGAAGGTTCCAGCCGTTACTTTCCCTCGTAGGCGGTAGACTTTTCCCATTGCTATCTAGGGAACCAAGATCTGCCAAATCCTGCAACTTTAGGCTTCAACCTTGTCGGCACAACCCGCAGTCCCGTCCCCAAAAAATGTGATCCTCGTATCTACGCGGCGCAACCACGAACGGTGTTGTGCACCTGCGGCAGAGACCAAGCACGCGCTCACCACTTGATCAATCGCCCCTAAAATTTGAGGGAAGACGAAGTGAGCGCCAGATAGAACATGTGTTGCACAAGAGTTCAACTTGATTGATGCAGAGGGTCGAGAGGTAGGCACGAATGAGGTGAAAAAATACGTTCGCATATAGGCACCGTGGTTACGCCCTGCCATGCTGCCGGCAACACTTATCACTGATCATTTTAGCTGCTGATCTTGCGGTTGTACAGTACTTGGAACTGTGCAGGAAGACAAACCACAGGTGGAGTACTCTTGAATGGCGTCAGCTAGGTTTGAACTGAAACTGCTGTTGGGGTGCCCCCCTCTCATGCTGCTGTTGTTGCACCGCACACGCTTGTGCCTATTGACTCCGGACCCTCGCCCAGTAGCACAACTCTCCTGATTCCTGAAGAAAGAAAAAATAAGAAGGATGGAATAAAGCCAGTTACATGGCAGCTATACTAACTGTGCGTTTAGTCACTGATAAACGTTGACGACGTTGCTGTCTGATGTCGCACGCAGGCAACGGCCTGTCTACCTACACATACATGCGGTAATTTATCTCAAGAATTAATGTACTAACTTGCGGTAGGATTGGGTGTGTCGAAAACGCGGGGAAATACTTACACAGAAACACTGCACGCAACCCCGGTGCCCCCGAGTTGCCCAAACGTATCAAAATCCCACGGGCTGCTCTTCTTGCCACACAAGTTCAGTTGCGCCTGAGGTCAAGCTGAGGCAAAAGCGAGTATACGATGGGAGCGTGAGCTCGAGAACACTACGACCCTCTCCGCGACGACAACACGAGCAGAAAAGAGAGTGGGCAGCAGCCGCCTCCGGCGTTGATCGCCAACTTGGCTCAGGAAATCACAGGGCTCACTTGAGAAACAAGGCCCCTCGAGGCGTGAACACCTCGTACCAACCCACTTATGTGCTAGCACCAAGTGATACAAAGTTCGTCACAAAACATCGTCCCGAACAGAATGATACAACAAAGTACAAAAGACACAGGCCCGACGCACCCTCGTCCCGATAGGTTCCGGGCAGTTTGCCGAAAAAACTTGAAGAAGAAAATACCATGCCAATAAACCACGGACACCCAGAGTGACTGAAACAAAGAAGCCCCCCCCCGTCCGTCTCCATGTATGAATGTGCACCTAGGTAAATATATCGGTCGGGCGAAAACGCGCATTCTAGCTGGCTGTTCAGCGTACGCCTTCTGCTCCTACGTCTGATAATTGGCCACCACGGGTAGTCGTCTTTGCCGGATGCATCCCACGGAACGCAAGTGAAGAGCGGACCTGTTGAACCACCAAGAGAGACGCGCAATATATGACATTTAATCAGAGGTTAGAACAAGGGTTTTAGATCTTTCGTTACGATGTGGAGATCTGACGTGCAAGAATGCCCGTCACGACACCCCCAACCCCAAGCCAAGTCCCTCAAGGAACGCTACATGCACCTGCCTGAAGAAGTAGCCAGATCTCAGTTCCAGATGTCGTTAACGAGATCCGCAACACCATAATCTGTGTCTCCGTCAATCCGCACCGGGTTGACGCCCGTCTCGCTCAACCCGTCAGATTTCTCATCGATGAAGCCAGATTCGCCCAAATTCCACTTCATTAATCGTCGAGTGCACCGCTCAGTACCTTCTAATGTCCATACTGGTTCAACTGACGCGGAGTGATTGACGTTGTACCGCCGCACGCCGTGGTTGTTACCTACTAGTCGGCAAAACTGTCATCTACTAAGTTACCAGATCCACCCGTGATTGCCGCTGGGATTTTTGCGTAACGGGCTCCGCGGTGTACCTGATCAGGAAGTCCGCGCTCTGCAGTCTGAGCTGGGCAACTACTCAATTACACCAGAACACTTTTTTGTTGTTGTGTGTCTTCTTTCCACGTGTCAAGTACGTGCCATCTGGTGAGTGTGAATGGCTTTTCGGCATCTACCTATCTGTTTTCGTAACGTGCTTTTGTGCTCCTCTTGCGTTGACTACCCAATTTGTCTCGGAAAATTTGATTGTTCTCAGGAGAAAACGCATCAAAGATGTCTAACCTTTTTTCTTGCTGGAAATATTCGCATCACTGCACCTCCTGGCTTGCTTCAACATCATTTTGCGCCCGTTGCTGCATAAGGGGCGTTTTATACATTGCCTCTTTTTCCAAATTTTCCAAATTTCCATATTCCGACTTGTTTCCAGATTTATTTCCATTTTTTGCCGAAAATGTGAAACGAACTCGGCGTGTGTATATGGCCTTTCGCTTCTCTCCGCCACCACGAGCCCGCCGTCACACATCCATCCGCACATTAATCTTGTTGAGTCGACGTGGCAACCATGCTGGGTCGATCGCGTTCTGAGCGTGATCACTCGTATTGTTCGCATACCTCGCGAATCTCACAACTTGTAGGTTGCTTTCCCGACGAAATAGCCAATGAGTGTCAGGCTGGGCCTTAACCACTTTGGTGCTCCCGGAGTTCACTCCCGAACACAGTGTTAAGACAGAAAGATCCACAGAACTCAGGGACCAAAAGTGGGTCGGGTCTTAACCGTATTTTTAAGAAAGCAGACCCGAGTTGGAGTTGAGTGTGCAGCAAAACAACGAATAGATAGGCCATGGTTGAGGTTGCGCTGGTTTGCAGCTGCTGTGCGGCTGTGTGGAGTGTGGAGATGTGGACATCGGGCTGCGGTCAGCGAGCTCCCTGAGCTGCGCGGGCCGGGGACACCCTCTAGCACAAACTGGGAGCACCTCCGTCACAAACGTCGGAGGGAGGGGGGAAAAGTCACAGAAAGCGGCGGCGGCAAATGCTGATGGGATTTATCCGTACTGACTGGTGGTTGCGGTACTGGTGGCAGCAGCTGCTGCCGTTTCTTGTCGCGGTCCTGTTTGTCAGCATGCGAGGAGGACATAATATTTTGCTCACGGGTTGGCTGTGGAGCCCGTTGTGTGTGGCGTGCGGGTATGGAGACTCTCTCTCGTGCCGTGTGGCAACTAGGCGAGAGCGCGCCAAAAGATATCAGCAGCAGAACATACAGTCGTGCCGTGTGTCCTTTCTCAGAGGAAATGATTTGCCATCTTACCTTCAGTAGACCGCCTTTTGGGAACTCCGGTTGCGGTTCACGCAACTCCTGTTTAGATTAAATGATTTTTGATATAATCTAAAAGAGAGTGCACTCGTTCTGACCCGGAGTTAGCTTGCTGGATTTGCAGGTGAAAAAAATAAAAAATATGGTCTTTTCATCATTTCACCCATTCAAACCGAGGGTTCTGTGGATCTTTTGTTTTAACTCCGTGTCTGGGCGTGAATTCCGGACGCACAACAGCGGTTAAGACCCAGCCTTATTTCGACCGGAGTTCGTGGTTGGTATCCAATGGTTGGATCGGAACTTGATTCATGCAGAAACGGCCGACTACTGTAAGGGGGTCTCACACTTCCGGTAGCTTTGATAATCTGTCAGCCCATGGGCCGCCCATGGGCACTAAATGGCCATCCCATGGCCAGCCCATCGGCCGTCGATCAGTGCCCTTCAGCCGGACCCAGTGTACTCCTAAACAATAGATTTGTACCCCTAAACAAGAGATTATCCGCTCTGGAAGGAGCAATGCGCTGACCCCGCTACAACTGCAAGAACACCGACAACAACAGTGGTCAAAACCTCTACGGAGGGGTCGTTGCTTACTTGTTGGCCGATGGTGGTGTGGCTCCACGTTTCATGGTGTTTCATCATGTGCAGGTGCAGCCGACGCTGGACGACAAGGCCTCTTTCGCGGTCGTGCTCGTCAACCTCCTGCTCATAGACACGGCCCGCGGCATTTTCTTCCCGACTCTGTGGACCCACGTCAGCCAGCTCGGGGGAGACAAGATCACCCTGGGGTACTGCGTCGGAGCGTTCAGTCTCGGGAGGTAACCTGTCTGTGGTCATCGTTCGCGCAGGCTACAACGCCGGCCCACTCAAGAAGAAACTAACGGTGGTCTTATCTCGAAAGTCCTTCTTTGATTGTAAAATATGCATACCACGAAAGGGCTCAATCAAAGGTAGGGAGGTGAAAAAATGAAAGAGAAATAACAAACGATACTCCCAGGGCTAATTCCAAGTTTTTGGGGCACCAGGGTTAGATTTAGGGAGGGGGGGCTATGACAGAGGATATTACGGTAAGACAGCGCGGCCGTTGCCCGTTATCGGCCCTGTAAGAGCAATGCTCCGTCCTCTCGAGGATGCGTGGTCATCGGTGTACCCGCTAAGGCGTGTACAACATGAGCACCCCCCCCCGGCCACCCCTCTTCCTCTTCCTCCCCCCCCCACCACAACGATTGCCCGCAGAACACTCCTGACGCCTGTTTTTGGGAAGATGTCCACGGAGCACGGCTACCGACGAGCATTTTTGATCTCCACGGCCCTCGTTCCCTTCGCGGCTCTCTTCTATGGGGTGGCCGACAGCGTTTGAACGGTTTTCTTGCCGCAGCTCTTCCTAGGTACGCTAATCTCGGCATTGCTCGTCGTTTGCTGACATACAAGGTTGAACACGGGGTTACTGCAGCACCTGCCCAATACGAGGTGATGGGATTTCGTGGCCGGCGTCCCTGCAACAGCTATCGTTCGGACCAAGGTTTAATCAGCCTGTTGCCGTAGTCGTGTGGCCGGTGTCCCTGCAACAGCTAACGTTTGGGTCCGATTTCAATTAGCCTATTGCGGGAGTCGTGTGGCCGGTGTCCTTGCAACAGCTATTGTTCGTGGTATTCCATCAGCCTATTGCCGGAGGTGTGTGGCCGGCATCCCTGCAACAGCTATCGTTCGGGTGGTTCAATCAGTCTCTTGCCGGAGTCGTGTGGCTGGCATCCCTGCAACAGCTGTCGTTCCGAATATTCAATCAGCCTATCACCGGAGTCGTGTGGCCGGCTTCGCTGCAACAGTTATCGTTCGGGACAAGATTCAATCAGCCTATTGCCGGAGTCGTATGGCCGGCGTCCCTGCAACAGCTATCGTTCGGGGCAAGATTCAATCAGCCGATTGCCGGAGCCGTATGGCCGGCGTCCCTGCAACAGCTAAGTTTTGGGTCGGATTTCAATCGGCCTATTGCCGGAGTCGTGTGGCCGGCGTCACTGCAACAGCTATCGTTCGGGCACCTCTTCAATCAAACTATTGCCGGTGTCGTGTGGCCCACGTCCCTGCAACAGCTATCGTTCCGGTGGAAATTCAATCAGTCTATTGCCGGAGTCGTGTGGCCGGCCTCGTTGCAAGAGCTAACGTTCGGTTCGAGTTTTGATCAACCTTTTCCCCGAGAGACGTGGCCAAGATCGCTGCGACATTTGAGATGTGGCCGAGAGAGGCTGCTGTGAAAGTTTGTTGAAGTGATTGTGCGGTTCGTTCCACAGTCGGTGGAGACGTGCGCGATTCCACAGTCGGTGGAGACGGACGGATTGTTTGTTCAGGTTTCATGGCCGAAGTGTACCGTATGTTTGCAAAGTTCCGTACCATGTGTTTGTATCGTGGGGGAATTGGTTTGTTTTCATTTCCATGAAGTAGTATGCATGTCTCGAAAGCTATCTTTTCAGGCGCATCAAATCGCCATGACAATCAATTGTGCTTCCCGTGTCGGATTTACATGCCTCTCTCCTGCAAGTTGATGAAGGTTCCAGGATCTCGACGGGAGTTCGTCTCTTCGTGTGAGCCGAGTTTGAAAGGATCTCGCCAAGGTGTCAAAATGTCAAGTCAGACTCAAGGATTTTTTGTCCCGCGAAGAAAGGGCAAATAATCATCGCTTTTCTGTCACCAGCTTTGAGACTGTGGATGTAAAATTGCACACCAAGGTGCTGAAGCACTCCTCGGGTCAGGCACAATTGACCGTTATAGTTGCATTCTGAGGATCATTACGGTAAATAACGGAGTGTTACACCATGCCCACTGCGGACGTTTCGTCGCCCTTACAAGAAAGTTGACGACATTCGTCAGCCTTGTTCTTCTCGGTCGTGGTCACTCTCAGCGATTCATTGAATACCGTAAAGAGGACGAGAAAGGGTGACCGCACACATGAGATAAAACCAAGTTTTGCAGCCGCAACAGAGGGGGTGCGAACATCGGCCGACGTTTGCAAAGGAAGCTTTCGCCGCGATCCTTCCACCGCCACCCCCTTTCGGCAAGCGCACCCCATCGGTTTTGAAGCAATCCATCTATGAAGGTCGGTCTTGTAGTGGGCGGGTGATTCCTCGTTTTGTCAATGACTCGAGCTGGAGCAAACACATGCTGTGACCATCTGGCCGTTTGGGTGTGTGTGTACAACTGTGGTCTTAGCCCTCTTCGCAACTCCAGGATATAGAGAGTGGTTTCGCTTGGGATGCAACGACACAAAACCGAGATAACCATAGTCCCCAGCTGATGGTAGGAGATCTGTTTCAGACCTACAGTCATAGTTCGGGTGTCTTGCTGAAGTATGTTTGCGTTCGGCTCAGGCTCCACGTTAGTAGAGGTTCGATATTCGAATCTGATTCAGTCTTGTTTGCCCTGCCCTGCACGTACATACATATGTTGGTTGTCTCAGAATGTTCCTATTCTTTTAGAGCGTCGGGACTCATTCTGGATGTAGATTCGACCGAAGCGAGCCGTGCACTAGATGCACCTACAGCCAGCCGCCTCCTCTCTTGACAAGAGTTCCGATCCGCGGTGGCATACACGAACTTCTCTTCATGCCGTAAATCTATGGCGCTGCGAGAACGGTTCCTTCCGCCGTCCTCCGATATGACAACATTCATTCGGGAACGAACGTTTTACCATTCATTATATATACTACTAGATCAGTACCGAGAGAGGAGGGTACGGGATAGAGAGATCGGAACTGTTTTTAATGTGCAAACGACAACAACAATACATAAGGCGGCACATTGCCGAAGGATTTGGCCGAGAGGGCAACTGGCCACACACAGAATCATCGGTGAACGTGTATGAAAAAGGCCTTTAAGCAGGTTCTACGTTATATCGCAATCCGAGACCGGTGCCGATCGAAGATTAACCCAGGGTGATGGTATTTTTCAGTCTAAAGCGTGTGTATGTTCATGTACTTCACACACGAGCCTGAAATCGCAACGTCTGGAAAAATTACAACACACGGCAGAGTTCAAGAACTAGCCACAAAACAATTACTCGACCGAAAGCTGTTTATATGCGGAAGCTCGGACGCAGCTGCGGGTGATATCGTCTGACACTGCGCCGGTTTTTTTCCCTCGCGTTCGTGAAGAATAGGTATTCTCTGGCTGAATCATGCCCCCCCACGTTCCCACACACATACTGGTCGGTATTGCTGGTGAGAAGGATGCAAGACAAGTCCCCCCCGGCCACACACACACACACACACCCTGGCGTGCTCGCGCGTATGCATACAGCCAGAGACAAAACTCTAACACAGGGGCCGACAGATACACGATACGTGCGACAGACAGCAAGCACTACCAATGCACTTCCGCAAACAATAATAGGTAAATCCTACCCAAGCAAGAATAATGTAGTGTGTGTGCCGGACGTGATCCCCAGTCACCCACCGAAAAACCTGAAAAACCTGCCCACAACCTTACTGTGCGTGCCCCTAGCCCGCTCCCGTGCTCCTGAAGGCTACTTGTCGACGCCACGAGCGAGCGGGCTGGCTGCTCCCACGGCCGCCTTACGCCTGTTGGTGATCTCGATGCAATCCAGGTACGGCCTCCGGAAAGTGAACAGCAGCGCGATCGGGACGGAGAGCATGGCCACCAAGAACAGAAACAGCGCCGAGGTTCCGAGCACTTCACACAGCACGCCTGAGAAGAAACAAGAGACGAGGGGGGGGGGGGGGGGGGGGTTTTTTGCCCCCCCCAACTGATTCGTCCCTTTGAAACCCCCCCCCCCCCCGGGGGAATCCTTCCTCTTTGGGTGTTCCTCCCCTCTGTTTGGTGTGGGCTCCCGTGCGTGTGGTCGCGGTGTCCCCGTCCCCCCCCCCTTTCTTCTTGGTGTTCTTTCCCCCCCTG